GATTGTCATTCTTTGAAAAAAAAAATTTGAATAATGATTTTTAAGAGAATGTGTGGTTAAAAATAAACATGTAAAATTTTATTTATTTTTTTTTTTTTTGAAATAATAGCAATCAAATAGGGGCTTATACCTTCCAATCAAAAACCAAGAGAGGCAGATTGTGCAATTCACGTAACTTCACTGGGTGGTGGTCTACAGTTAAAATATAAATGGGGGTTTCATTTAAAACAAAAATTTATTTATAAAGCCTAAGAACTATCTTTTTTAGTTAGATAGTCTAAAGATACAAAGAAAAGAAAAATATAATTTGTAAATTACTAAAATATCGTTGTACGTAAAAAGACATAATGCCCTAATTCCCCTTTCAATTTTCATTTAGCCCTAATTCAATTTTGGCTTCCTTTCTTCCATAGTCGAGTCGACATCTATATGCAATTATTCTTCTTCTCTTATCATCATCTTCTCTTCATCATGAAACCCTAAAATCTATCAATATCATTCACTTGAACACTAATTTGGTTAAGTAGAATAATCAAATTTTACAATATTCATGTTGGGCATTTGGAGAAGAAGATAAGATAATGTTAAATTTCAATATTTGGGCTACTTTCTTTTTCAATTTTGGAAAAAATTCATAAGTCATGGATTATTTTTCACGAAATCAAAAATCAGATCACAATGTTTAAATTTACAAAACTCAGGTTTTTTTCATGAATTAATTAATTATATTTTACAGTTAATCTATTAAATTAAATATTTAACTGTAATATAAAATACTCCACCCCACTTCCACCTCCAGCACCACCACTCCGTCGACTGCTCCAGCGACTACTCTGACAACTATTCTCCGACTGCGCTTAATTTCGACGACCGTTAATTCCGGTAACTGCTCCAATTCCAAAGTCACAGATCAAAAAAATTATATGTCACAGGTCACCCATTTTCAAAATTGTGGGTCACATACTCCTTTTTTTAATTACAAATTATCAATTTTAAAGTCACAGACACTGGCTAGGTCACAGACACCTAAAAAAACCACCACAGTTCAATAGCTAGATCACAGACACTAGCTAGGTCACAGACACCAAAAAAAAACCATTACAGTTCAATAGCGAAGCCACAGACACCAAAAAAACCACCACAGTTTAATAGCGAGGTCATAGACACCAAAAAAAATCATTACAGTTCAATAGCGAGGTTACATACACAAAAAAAACTACCACAGTTCAATACTTAGGTCACAGACACCAAAAACAAAAAACCACCACCGCTGACCCCGCCCCAACAATAACAAAAAACAATCACCACCACACGGATCACCATCACCACAGCCCAAAACATACCACCACAGATCCACTACCTCCACAACCACACATCCCCAGTTGCAGGCTACACAACAATAAACCCAACTTCCATTAGCTACTGAAAACTTACATACGAAACACACAAAGGACAAACACCATCATCACGCTCTAACTCAACCACCACAAAATCGTTGGAGAAATACCACAAATCGGGATCTGGAATAGATCTCCAAGAGGCGGACGACCACAAGTGTCGTCGCAACGCAGCAGCGTACCCACAGCAGCGCG